GCAGGATGCGAGCGAAGATCTTCCCGGCGATGTTCAGCAAGGAGATGCCACGGTGATTGTCACAGACTTGGCGGTTCCCCTTTCGCTTGTAGAGATGCACGATGGTTGCGTCCTTGAAATCTTGCGGGACTTCACCTTGACGTCACATATCCTGGAAGAGCGCAGTCAGGTGATACATCAGTAGGGGCCTCCGTGCTTGTAGACCTCAGCAGGGATTGCGTCCGATCCGGGTGCTTTCCCGCTGGAGAGCTGCTGCACGGCCCTGATGGTTTCTTGGAGAGATGGCGGGAGGTCGAGGTCCACGTTGGTCTCCACTTGCGGCAAACGCTCGGTGGCGGCGTCAGAGATGGCGGAAGGCGGTTGAGGACGCCTCGGAAATGCTCGGCCCATCGCTGTAGGATTTGCGTCTTCTCAGTCAGGAGAGTGCTGCCGTCGGCGCTGAGGAGAGGAGCAGTGCCCTTCGTCGGCGGACCGTAGACAGCTTTGATCGCGGAGAAGAAGTTCTTCCATTCGTTGCGGTCCGCGTAGCCTTGGATCTCCTCAGCTTTGCGAGCAGTCCAGGCGTCCTGCATCTCGCGCAGACGTTGCTGATGTTGGTGGCGACTGCGGTAGAAGGCAGCTTTGTTGTCCTCAGTGGGGTGATCTACGTAGGCTTTGTGTAGGCGGTTCTTTTCGGCAAGCAGATTTCTGATGGCAGCGTCGTTGTCGTCGAACCAGTCCTGGTGTTGGCGGGGAGCGCGACCAAGGACGGCGACCGCCGTCGACTGGACCGTGTCTCGCATTTGACACCTGCGGTTCTCCACGGAGGCGTTCTCGGCAGCGGCGGCGTCGGCGATGGGGAGGTTGTCTAGCCGTTGAGCTAGCTCATTGCTGAAATGAAGATGGTGAGCAGGCAAAGACAACAAGGCAACATTCAGCTTACCTGGGGGTCGCTTACCTTGTGGTCGCCTGCGAGGTTGTAGACGAATACGCATCTTCGAGATGGCGAGGCGATGGTCGGTCCACCCGTCAGCACCCGCGATCGCCTTCGTCACCAGCACGTCCCGCTGATCTCGCCTCCGGACGAGGACATAGTCCAGCAGGTGCCACTGACGCGACCGAGGATGCCTCCAGGTGGCCTTCTCTCGCTCCGGCAGACAGAAGAACGTGCTCGTCAGGGTGAGGCGGCCATCTGCGCAGGTGCGGAGCAGCAGCAGACCATTGTCGTTGGAGCCGCGGAGAACATTGGGACCCAGCACTCCTCTCCAGGCAGTATGGTCTCTTCCGACGCGGGCGTTGAAGTCACCAAGGACAATCAACTTGTCCGCCTTCGACACAGTCGCCAAGAGGGCGTGCAGGTCCTCGTAGAATTTGTCTCCTGCGGCGGCGTCGGGGCTGGTCATCGGCGGAGCGTAGGCGCCGATGATGGTGGCGAATCTTCCCCCACCCCGGCGGAGAGGCAGACGGAGGCTCATCAGGCGATCGTTGATTCCCTGCGGCAAACAGGGTAGTCGTCCCACGATGTCGGTCCGGAGGGCGAAGGCAACACCCGCGTCTCGTCGCTCGCCTTGGGTCGACCACTCCAGAAGAAGGTGTAACCGGCACCCACATCCTCCAGTTGGCCTTGTTCAGAGAATCGGGTCTCGCTGAGTGCGGCGATGTCCATCTTGTAGCGCGCCAGTTCTCGTGCCACTAGCGCCGTCCTCCGTTCCGGTCGGTTGCTCCTCGGATTGTCTAAAAGGGAACGAACATTCCAGGCTGCCAGAGTGAGCGGGCTCACCCTGCCAGTCTGGCCACTGCGGCGGCGAAAAGTAGGAGTAGGAGAGGAAGAAGAATAGGCTGGAAGAGGAAGAGAGTGATTGTTGTTGTTGTTGTTGTTTCGATTTTGGCTGTTTCAACCGTGTGTTTTTTGTCTGCGGCCACGGCCAGCCTACAGACAGCGTGGTTCCCAGCGATCTTTAGGGCACCTTTTCTAGCCCACTCCCCCTCGCGGGGGCAGGCCACGCATCCCTGAACAGGGCTGCCCGGTTATCCCAGACGGCTGCCGGACTACACTATGGGCCACGATATTTTGTTAGTGAGAGAACGACCCGAATTAGCCTGGGACCTTGGTGGTGATGGTGATGTGATGGAGTGAAGTAGGAGAGAGCATACACACTACCTAA